GAGAGATGCAGATGAAAACAACACTGAGATTCCACCTCACCCCACAAAGAATGGCTGCTATCAAGAAATCACACAATAACAAATGTTGGCGGGGTTGTGGGGAGAAAGGAACCCTCCTCCATTGTTGGTGGGAGTGCAGACTAGTGCAACCACTATGGAAATCAATATGGAGATACCTCAAAGAGCTTGGACTGGAGGTTCCATTTGACCCAGCCATCCCTCTGTTGGGTATCTTTCCAAGAGAACTAAAAGAATCATATCACAGAGAAGTATGTGCACCCATGTTTATAGCGGCACAGTTTGTAATAGCTAAATCTTGGAAACAACCTATTTGCCCATCCGTTGGAAACTGGATAAAGAAGTTGTGGTTTTTCTATAAAATGGAATATTACTCAGCCATAAAGAGCGAGAGAATAGATTCATTCATAGGAAAATGGATACATATTGAAGATATACTCCTAAGTGAAATAAATAAGTCCCACATGTGTAAATACCAAATAGTTTCCCTGGTGTGAATATTCTGCAACAATGCATAAGATTCTAATAAGATTACTGACATTTAGAAATGGGAGGAAAGGAGCTAAAGGTGTAGGGAAGGTGTGATACGTAGGGGAAGAACAAAAAGGGAAAAGAAAAAAATGTGAGAGAATGAAAAGATGAAAATAAAGTGTTTGTAGATGGGGAGGGGAGGAGGGGGTGAAGGGAGGGCAGAGGTAAGGGGAAAAAAATGAGAATCAAGACTTGCCATGTAAAGGTACATGATCCCAACAATGAATGTAACTGTACTGTATCCCTAAATGTACCAATAAACTCAATAAAAAAAAAAAAAAAAGAAAAGAAAAAGACCAGTAGCAAAATTAACAAAAGAATGGAACACAAAAGAAACCCAACTTACCAATAAACATAAAAAGAGAATTACTTATCAGCAATCAAAAGTACCACACACCATTAAGTTGTTAAAAATTTTGACAATATCAAACATTGACAAAAATGCAGAACAAGGACATTTTCACACACTGTATAAAATTAATACAACTACTGGCTCATCTAGTAAAAAAAAAAAAAAAAAAAGAAAAGAAAAAGACCAGTAGCAAAATTAACAAAAGAATGGAACACAAAAGAAACCCAACTTACCAATAAACATACAAAAAGAATTACTTATCAGCAATCAAAAGTACCACACACCATTAAGTTGTTAAAAATTTTGACAATATCAAACATTGACAAGAATGCAGAACAAGGACATTTTCACACACTGTATAAAATTAATACAACTACTGGAGCTCATCTAGTAAAATTAAAGCTACACTGCTCTAAAACCCAGCAACTACACTCCTGGGTTCAGTGTAAATGAAACTCACAAACATGTGCACCAGTATGATGTGAAACAGCCAAACACTGGGAAGAGCCAATGTGTCCTTTAATGATATCATGGTAAACAACTGGTGACATAACCACAAAACAGGATGCTATCCAACGACAAAAATGAACTGACAATACAGTTCTAAGACAGTGATAACAAAGACAGTTTTCCTAATAAACACAATGCTGATTTTGAAAGAGACAACACAACAGAACACACTCAATATAATGTTTAGGGATACATACCTAGATGGCAAACAAGATGCAAATAAATAACGTAAAGATAGGATAGTGATTTCTGATTCAGAAAGGAGGCAGGAGGGAGTCTGGGGTGATGGCAGAATTCCTTGATTCTGATGTTAATACAAATTCACTTTATTATTATCTATATATTTCTGTACTTTTCAAAACAAAGATTAAATATTTCACTACTTTTTAAAAGGCAAATACCTATCAGCTGTGAAAATCACTTCCATTCAGCACACACTCAAGAGCCCAGCTTCAATTTAAGAAAGAAAACACCTTTCTACAAATATTATTCAATACTTAATTTTGTTATTCCTTTTTTTCTGTTAAAAAGTCGAAATCTAAATATAAAAATACTGTGAAGGATATTACATATCTTCATTTATACATCATACAATACAATATTAAAAAGAGAAATGTAAAATCATTAAGGTTTTTCAGGCAAAAAATTAATTTTGTTACAGTTGTATAAAGCTGGACTGGGTGGAAAGAATATAACTGTGATGTAAAGATGATTCAAACTAAATACACACAGTGATTTCCTAGGTACAATTTCACCTTTGTAACAGCTACCAATTTCCATAAGGAAATGATAGCTAGAAACAAGTTTAGAAAGTTTTCTGTTGCTTATTACCATGGGCTTGACAAATATGTAACTCACCCAAGGTCACAGACTACCATTGAGTGAAGGAACTGAGATACACTGACTCCAGAGTGTGTGCTCTTAAAATTATACCATTTATATTCAATAAAACATATTTGCCATTCATTATCACCTATCACCCTTTCACTACAAGATTCCAGATGCCTTGAGAATTTACCTTTGCTTTTCTAGCTAACTCAAGCAATGTTAATAGGTGAAGGGATCTGAACAAACATCTAGGAAAATTTATGATTTCACAGCTAAGAAAATGGAGACCTAAAGGAGTTAAGTGTTTTGTCCAAGATCACAAAGCTGGCTTGTGACAGTCAGCACTGAAACAGTTCTTGACTCCCAGGAGTGCCCTTCCCACTACACTAAAAGCCCTTTCTACCATGCATCTTATATGGCAGGCAAGTTCTTCCTGAAACCATACTCTGCCCTCCACACAAACACTGCTGTTTACTTTGCCACCTAGTACTCAGGTTTCAGAAACGTACTTCTTTCAACAAATATACAGAGAGATGCACATGCTGAGGCAATAGTGACCCCAAATGTACATTATAATTCTAGCCCACCATTCGGCTACAGAACACAAGTATACTGACTATAAAATGTGGCATCTTCTTGATAGCAGCCATTCTTTGTGGGGTGAGGTGGAATCTCAGTGTTGTTTTCATCTGCACCTCTCGAATGACCAGTGATGTGGAACATTTTTTCATATATTTACTTGCTGCTTTTACTTCTTTGTCAGAGAAATGTCTGTTCATTTCAGATGCCCATTTTTGAATTGGGTCCTTATATTTGGGGGGGGGCTGATTGTTTTGAGTTCTTTATATATTCTAGATAATAGTCCTTTGTGTTGGTGGGGTTGTGGGGAGAAAGGAACCCTTCTCCACTGTTGATGGGAGTGCAGACTGGTGCGACCACTACGGAAATCAATATAGAGATACCTCAAAGAGCTGGGACTAGAGGTTCCATTTGACCCAGCCATCCCTCTGCTGGGTATCTTTCCAAAAGAATTAAAAGAATCATATCATAGTGATGTATGCACACCTACAGCAGCACAATTTGTAATAGCTAAAACTTGGAAACAGCCCATTTGCCCATCAGTTGGAAAATGGATAAAGATGTGGTTTTTCTATAAAATGGAATATTAGCCATAAAGAATGAGAAATTAGTCATTCATAGGAAAATGGATACATATTGAGGATATACTCCTAAGTGAAATAAGTCACACGTGTAAATATCGAATAGTTTCTCTGGTGTGAATAAACTATAATAGTACATAAGATCCTAATAAGATAATTGACAATGTGAGATAGGAAGAAAAAGGCTAAAGGTGTAGGGAAAGTGGGAAGGGTAAGGGAAAGGTACTAAGGGAAAGAAGAAAAATTGGAGAAAATGAAAAAATGGAAATAAAATGTTTGTAAATGGGGAGGGGGAGGAGGGGGTGAAGGAACGGCAGGGACAAGGGGAAAAAATGAGAACGAAGACCTGTCTTGTAAAGGTAAGATCCCAATAATGAATGTAACTGTACTGTATACCTAAAATGTACCAATAAACTCAATGAAGAAAAAAAATGTGGCAACTGCTGTGGTGGCCTTGTGAACCATGTGTTTTGAAGGCACGCAGAAAGGAGGGGGTATTTCAGACTGAGTAAAGAATGAGGACTGAGACTGTGACAAGTTGCATTTGAGGCAAAGCAAAGGCAGATGTGTAATGGTGCTCAAAAAGTGGGGGAAATGCTATCATTTCTACCAGTAGATGTCCAAGTAAAAATACTACTAAATATGGGGTCGAAGCCCTAAATTCAAGTCTAGTCTGCGACTCTGGGAACTGAGTAATCTGAGCCTCGTGTCCTCACAGGTGAAATGTGGGTACTGCAACTGGCTTGCCTACCTCCCTGATTTTTATAGGGACCCAGAAATACGAAAATGCTTAAAAATGGCAAAATTCTGTACTCGGTGTAAGTTACTTATGTTTTCACTTCCAGGCAAGCCTGTGGGTCCTTCCTCTCAACTGTGCCTCATAAAAACCTCACCCTTCAGGATGAAAATATCCCAATGACATCATGCATATGCTCCTTAGGGTGTAAACGACTAACATGAAAGCCTTCACGTTAAAACGTCAAATCTCTTTTTACTGAAATAAGTATGTGTACAGTGTACGTATTTTCTTTTAATTTCTCGAGCGCTGCTATTGACTTCTAGTCAATTCTTGTAATTATATTTAGAAACTAGTACCAGATTTTCTTCCAGAAATTCCATTGCCACTTTACAGTACACGGTCAAGCCACCGATTCAAGAAGAGCCTGCAGGTGGCAATCACTTTCCTGGGATCCCAAGAGACTGATTGTGTATTAGCTACGGGCTACCATACACATGCACTAATCCCAAAAGTTAACAGCGTTAGTGCAAGCACGCATGCAGATGCAATTAGGACACAGACATCCACTGATAAGACCGATGCATCCACGATTTTAAGATCCTTGAAGGGCACAATCAGACCCCTTCTCTAAATTACAGAACCCTCCTATCTCTGAAGTTTGGCAGAGTAGGCTGTTAAAACCCTGCCTTCGCAGCTATCGCTCCTCAAACTGTACGGTCCGGGCCTGCAGTCAGCGCCGCCCTCCGGGTGATAAGCTAAATAAAGTTCCAACGCACAATCGCGAAGTGGAGAGCGCGGGAGAGAGCAGGAGAGGCCTCCAGGCCGGGGCAGCGGCCCCAGGCGACGTCCCGTCTTCCCTTACCTTGTACACCTTCCCGAATGCTCCGTCGCCCAGCTCCCCTATGATCTCCCAGAACTCCTCGGGGTTCAGGTCCCTCTTGACGTGCTCGTACTGCTTCTTCTTCTTCTCGCTCCCCAACTTGAAGATCTTACGGAAATTGAAGAAGGACATTTTTCCCTCACACGCGCAGCTCTCAGCGCGCGAGGATCAGCAACGACAATGGAAGGCGAAGTTTCCCGTCACCGCGCTCCCGCGCCAGCGGCGGCCCGGGTCCGGAGAGGCGGGCGGGACCGGTC